TTTTTTTTTTTTTTTTTGGCTCAGTGCAATTCAGTGATGTCAGTTTAAAAATCGTTTAGTGTAGTTTACAGTGCAAAAGGTCTCTTATTTTTGTGTCCTGGCAGAACTGTCGGCACTGAGGGTGTGAACCAAGGCAACGCTGCTGCTCACCTGAGGGTAACCCTGCCCAGCCACACGGGCTGGAGTGAGTGTGTAATCTGAATTTTTTCCAATTTAAACCTTTTTTTTTTTTTTTTTTTTTAAAAAAAAAAAAAAAAAAAAAAAAAGGAAAAAAAAAAAAAAAAGAAAAGAGGAACTTTACAAATACTATTCCAGTGTCAATGACTACTACGGCAAAGGTCATTGAGGAGTTTCTGCATTTTCTAGCAAAGACAGTCTGTGCAAAGGAGGGTGGGAGAGCTCCCTTTTGTAAGTCTTTGGCGGCAGTTTTGGCAGCTGAGGGCTGGAGTTGTGCCGGGGCGGCACGGGGGGCACGGGCGGCTGCGCCAGGTTGTTGTGACCGGCGCCGGTCACGCAGCAGCGGCGCAGCACCCGCGGGGAGGGGGTGCTGGGGGGGGTGCCCGGTGAGCTGGGGGCCGTGCCCGCCTCCCGCAGCCACTCGGGGTCCCTGTGGAAGCGTCCCAGCGGCGGCGGCTGCAGGCTCAGCGGGCAGTTGATGAAGTGCTCGGGCGGCCGCAGCGGCACCGGCGGGGGAGTGTCGGGCACGGGGTCCCGGGGGGGCGGAGGGGGAGGGCTGTGCAGAGGCTGCTCCAGGGGGGTGGGGTAGGCAGGGGCACGGGGCTGGATCTTTGGAGGCGGCGGCGGCTGCCGAGGTGGGATGGCTGGAGGGTCGTCGTCCGGCTTCGAGTTTCCCTGCGGCGGAAAGGGCGTTGTGAGGAATGGAGAGTGTGGAACCACGGGATGGTTGGGGTTGGAAGGGACCTTAAAGACCATCTCATTCCACCCCCTGCCCTGGGCAGGGACACCTTCCAACAGCCCAGGGTGCTCCAAGCCCCGTCCAACCTGGCCTTGGACACTTCCAGGGATCCAGGGGCAGCCACAGCTTCTCTGGGCAACCTGTGCCAGGGCCTGCCCACCCTCACAGCCAGCAATTTTTTCCCAATATCCCATCTATCCCTGTCCTCTGGCAGCTTAAGGCCTTTCCCCTCGTCCAAGTGTTTAAAGAGCAAATCTGACAGATGAAGAACTCTCCTGATCTCTGCTACTGGTGCTGTCAGAAACCCCACAGCCCATGGATCCAAACAGGACCACTGTGCTGTCCTGAAATTCTGACAGAATTGGACACTGGGAACATAAAACTTGGAAAGGGCAACTGGAGCTCTGCATCTCAAAGTCTTTTAGATTGACAGAACCCCATCAGCTCGATGGCTGGACTCGAGAATCTGCAAGGTCTTTTCCAACCTAAATCACTATTGGATGATCCCTGATTTATTATCCAAGTTATTCACCCCAGGACAGAAATACCTTAGCATTAGAAGCATCCTGATCCATCTTTTTTCGTGGGGGAAGCGGAGGAGGGTTCTGAGGCTCATCACTCAGCTTGGAAAAGCTCCCCCAGGAGCTGAAGAAAGTCTCTGGAGAGGGAAAAGCAGATCTTTTACTGCTTGTGCAATACCTGAGGAACATATTCTGGAATATTAAGCCAAACTCGAAGCAACTCAGACAAGCAGATCTTTGTGCTCCACAGCAACACGAACCAGTAACTTCAGCAGCATGAGATTCTTTTAATTCACTGCTTTAATCAGATAAGGGTCTCACAAAGTGCTCTCCCATTGCCAGCATCAAAGAAAGATGATAGGCATCAACAATCAGCAGGCAATGCTGAAGGACAGGAAAATAAATCAAGTGAACTCCAAGGGAGTTTTTACAGAGGGGGGAAAAATACCCTCAAATTAAGAAACAGCACAACCCCCCAGCCTGTACTGATGACTTTTGCCACACTTTTGTTATTTCTCTTAGAAGTGCCCAGAGCTGTGTGCCAATCCATCAGGCACCTGTGCTCTCCAGTTGGAAACTTTAATCACATGATGAAAAAATATGTGTGGAATAAGCAAAAAGAGCAGCTGAAAACACAGGTGAGTGCAGGATATCCCTCACAGGAGCGGTACAAAAAGAGCCTCTTCTCGCCCAGGAATTAGGAAATTATCAGGTTGCTTCATTTGCAGCATTAGTCAAACAGAACAATCATCAAGGACATCCAAAACAGAAGCAAGATCATGCAAGAGCCTGGAGATGAAACACCTAAACCCCACCAAAACCAAAGCAGGCAGACTTTACACTCCTCACTGGACTTCTGAGCTACAAAGAACCCTACTGAGCGCAGCCCACGTTTTCATGACAGATGCCAGATTTTCATTCCCATTCCGCTCTCCTGAACCCAGGGGAGGCAGAGCTAAACATTTCCCACAGTTCCAGTACTCACTCGACTGAGGCAAACTCACGGGAGCGAAGATGCTGTTGTTACCTGTGGAGGACAAAAAAACGGGTTGAAGACTTCCCAGACAGAACATCTGCCCATAACAAAATGCTTCAGTGACCTCAGAGATCACAAAAATCTCCCAAGTTTTATCTCCTGCCCATGTGGATTAAAACTTCCCGTGCAAAACGTTCCCCAACTATCGATTTTAGGTTACGGTGGGAATTGATGTCGTTACTCTAAATTTTTGCAACTCTTTGTTTTACAGGAATAAATCTGGGGAGCCTGGGGGACAGTGACAAGGATTCTTAAAAGGTGTTTCACCGTAAGAACTGTTGAGATCGATGTCTGAGAACACACTGAACTCCGAGGTCGCCGACACCGGTGGCGTAGACGGGGTGTTGGGAGAGGTCGGTGCCGAGACTGCGGACTCATGTTCTGCCTCGGTGATCCTGCTGAAGCTGATCTTGCTGGGCTCCTTCTCCAGCGGCAGTGGATGACTCCTCAGGGTGCCAGAGGTGGAGCCGTGTCTGCCCGTGTTGGGCCTTATCCCGGGGGATTTCAGGGGGTATGTTGTTTTCCTGGGCTGGAGACAGAAAAGCTGTCACAGTTAGTGCTGCTGACGTGCCAGACAGCAAAACTTTCAAGGCTCTGGGAGGTATTTTAAACAATATTTATCAAATACACCTTGAAGAGCAGGACAGGGACAGCTGTTGGGAGGTACAGTGCTGTTTATACAGCAGGAGTTTACGGATGTTACGGATGCAACTTAATAAATTTTAATAAATCTTTTTTTTCCTAGCTTAATTTAAGGGTTTTTTCCCACAACTGTAAGATTGAAGAGTCCAGTTCCTGATGCCAAGCAGGACAAAACACAGGGAGAAAAGCAAGTCACAACCTTAGGAAAGAGAAAGTTACTCCAAGCCACAGGGCAGCAGCACAGACACACTCTGAGCTTACTCTGTTGGTCACCGGGATCGTGGACACACCTGGACACACGTTGTCCACATCCTCTGGGTTAGTCAGGACAAAACTCCTACACCCAGCTCACTGGGTGGACAAACCCAGCCTTGTTAGGCTGGGGTGTAACAGCCCCAGATCAAAGCTGAGCCCTGGAAGGTGGATGACGCTCCCACCCTGCAGCGGTGTCCAAATTACAGCAGCCAGAACTGGACTGTCCTGAAATTCCAACGAGATTCCCTCTTTGGAAATCCTGAGCTGGGAAAGAATTCCTGCCCAGCTGACAGACTGGCAGGGCGGACACTCCTCTATTTTTAGAAAAATCCTTTGCAGAAATTACTGGAACAGCATTTTTGCAACAGCAGTTTCTGGCCCTTCCTTGGCACATCTGCAATGTCGTCTCACTCCTTCCTCCAACAAGGGATTTCAAAACTGATTTACAGCTCTCCCAAAAATCAGAGATGTCTCCAGCTCCTCAGGCAATTACAACATATTAAAAACCAAGTGCTCTAGACCACGATCTGTCTGCTTCAAGCTGTGCAAATTTTGCAACAATACCAAATATTTAGACAAAAGAAAACCAGAAATTACCTTCTATTTAAAGAAAACTGAACACATAAAGTCGTATTTCAATGAGTATTAATATAAGGCTTCTTGATATTGTGAAATGAGAAATGTTGCTCCATATTTTATCACACAAATATAACAGCAATATTTCAGGTTCTGGGGGAAAAAATGCTAATTTTAAAATAAGCCAAAGGTTGTATGTTTTAATAGAGAGAAGCATCAGGCATAGAAGTATTTGTAAATCAAGTTTAGCTGGAAAATCATCTCATGATAAGGAATTCTGAAGGAAATACTTATGGCTCATTGAGTTAACCATGCATTGTGACCAGTGGATTTCAGCTATTTAATTTTAATTAAATAACCCAGGAGTTGGACTTGATGATCCTTGTGGGTCCCTTCCACCTCAGGGTGTTGTGATTCCATGAATTTTGGGGAAAACACTTACAAATCGAGGTGGCTGCTTGCAGTTCCGAGGTTCAATCTCTAAGGACTTGTTGAACAGATAATCTGTAAACTCTTTTTCTGGGATCTTCCCCATGGGATTGAGATTTTCAAAGAATTTCTAAACGAAACAAGCACCAGTAAGATTTAAAAAAGAAAAATACACACAAAAATTTTGACTAAATACTTTGTAATTCACTGATTTAAAATCTACTTTTTCCCCCACTTTTGGGTAGTTCTTAGTGGGGGTACTTCTGTTTCCCACCAGCCCCCTCTTCTGATGGTCACAATTAATGCAAAAGAAGGTCCAGTACCAGGAGATTATTTGGCATTTTTGGTGATGTACCTTTTTCCCCCCCTTTCCAATCCCCAAACAGGTATTTAAAGGTTGATTACCCGAATTTCTGGCTCTATCCGTAAACAATAAGGCTGGTTTTGGTACTGCTGGATTTCTCCTGTAATTTCAGCCACTTTTCTCCTCTTGCTGAAGTTGATTAATTCTTTCCCTTGTCTTTTAAGGAAGTCAGGATTCCCTTCTTCTGTCTTCAGGATATTTGTCAGGTATATTCCTGATAAAAAGAGGAGGAGTTTTTGACCACACACCTGCAGCAAAGTCAAATTTGGGCTGGCACCACGAAACACTGACTTACCAAAGAAAGGCACACAGGGTGGGTTGATTGACTTGAGCTTGGCTAAATACTTCTTAAAATGATCTTGGCTTAATTCCACTGCTTCATCCAAGACTCTTTTTTTCCTTTCCTGTAGTGCCTAAGATGCCAAAGGAAAAAAAAAAACACAGGGGTGGAAATTTTCTCAGTACCACGGGCAGCAAATACAAGGCAATTCCCTGGCTGGCTGAGCAAAAGTCGGGAGCTGAAATTCAGATTTGAAAGCACCTCTTGTAGCAAAGATCTGCTCTATGTTTTGTCCATCAGTTTACAAGCAAAATCCTGGTCTTTTAATACAAATGACACACTTGATATTAACTTAAAATGGTGCCTCTCAGAGACACAGGAAACTCAAAGGATTTTATTTATATTCTTCTTTTTCTGTTTCGCTCAGGGGAGGCTCTGCTGCCAACATTTCACACTTGTTTCCTTCCACGACACCACTTCAGAACTGTGTGTGATGCAGGCCTGGATGCTGATTTACCTTCTTTTTCCCACGCCCAAACCTTACCTCAAAGGTGTGATCCAGCCTGTACACCGACACTGAGTTCATGGCACTGACAATCTCCAGCACGCCGTTGAAATTGTTCAGGTCCTGAAAAACCTGCAGGATTTCTATGATCCTGCTCAGCACAGCCACCCTCTCCTCGAAGTTCTCCGTCTCCACGATGCACCTGATCAAACGATGGAAGGTGAGAAACACCGAGAGATAAAAACCTGACATTTTGCAAGCTGGTAAATCAATTTTTTTTCCAAGAAAAACCACCCAGCACGCAGATTTTGGCTCTCATTCCAGAATCTCAAGTGCAAATTTTTAGGTAATCACATCTTACTTATGTTCCAAGTTTGGAAAGCCAAGAGGGGGTTTTGGCAGAGCCTGCAAAATGAAACAGCAAACCCCAAGCGAGTCCCAGGGTGAAAGTGCCCCTGCACTGCCAGCCCTGCACTTACTTTTCAAACCAAAGAGTGAGATTGGTGGTGTGACGGATCATTTTCAAGAGATTTGGGGAGTTGATTTCCTTGTCCTCCTTAGTCCACACGCTGCCAACGAGCTCAGAAGGCTGCACTGCCCTGGGAGCGACACAACACAACACACAGAACGCTCAGGACAAATAATAATTGTGATTTCTGTGCTTGCATTGAAAGATTCTTTCTTCCCCTAAATCAAGACCTGATGTTTCCCAAATCCAATCCTGTCCAATCTGCTGCGAAACAGAAACAACTTTCTGAGGAGAATTCGAGTTCCAGAGGGAAACCCCTTTTTAATCTTAATTGAAATCGGGTGGGTTTTGAATAAGCGTTTTCAGGTAAGAAAATTACAAAGGAGAGAGTTTAATTTTTTGAAAGGGCAGGAGAGCAACTTAAGAAGAGTTCCAGATCCAAAATGGGCAGCTTGGAGCAACCTGCTGGAAAAGGGGCTTGTTTTAGCAGAAAACCCACTGTCACTCAAGCAGGAAGGGACACTTCGCTTTGGAGTTTTAAAGACCCATGGATTGTTCTCCTTGTACTTATTTATGTTGTCTGAGATAAAACCCTTTTTTTTTTTTTAATTCCCCTGTATATTTTGACACTGAACGGATGGCAAGGAAATCATTGCCCGGGAACTCCGGCGTCGTATTTTCGACCAATTCCACGAGCTCTTTCTTGCTCGATAATAAGCTAAAAAATAAGCTAAAAAAAAAAAAAAAAAAGAGTGTAAATAAGGCGTGTTTGTGCTAAGCCCCACCTGTACAGGTCAGACTCGAGCAGGGTGAGCTGCCGGGCGATCTCGATGGGGTGCAGGGTCATGAGGTCCAGGCTCTCGCTGTGCCCCACGCGCCACAGGTGCCACTCGATGGGGGGGGGAGGGCTCTCGAAGGTGATGTTGTGGCTGATCCCGTTGGCCTGGGCTTTCTTCCTCCTGATGATCTTAGCGATGGATTCCACCCACTTCTTCATGGATTTGCCTGTAAAGCAGAAATCATTAAAGAAACCACCAAAAAACCCCACAACTTTTTTAAAACCATCGTGTAAGTTTTAAACTGGCAGAGGGCAGGGATAGATGGGATACTGGGAAGGAATTGCTGGCTGGAAGGGTGGGTAAGCCCTGGCACAGGTTGCCCAGAGAAGCTGTGGCTGCCCCTGGATCCCTGGAAGTGTCCAAGGCCAGGCTGGAGCACCCTGGGCTGGTGGAAGGTGTCCCTGCCCATGGCAGGGGGTGGAACTGGATGGGCTTTAAAGTCTCTTCCACCCCAAACCATTCTGGGCTTCTTCAATTTTAAATGACTTTTGAGTATTTAGTGAAACCAACCCCCCAAAAATCTGAATCTACACTCAGAATTGTGTGTTTCTGCATGCAAATTAATTAGGTTTGTTGTCCCCTGGTTTCTTCTTACGGGTTCTTGCACCTCTCTCAGCTGGTAAACAGACTCAGGTGAGCTCAGGTGCTGCCCAGGGGTATTTAACCCCATCCTCTGACAGCTCTGGCATGTAAAGCAGTGACCTGTATCCATTATCTTTTACCTCTTTGTCTCAGAATTACATTGCCCAGTCTAAGGCCTGGCAGGGTGAAAAGGAAAATCTGGAATTGTCAGGAAAATGATTAAAAATTGACATTAAAAAAAAAAAAAAATCTAGTTTGGAAGGAAGTGATACCAAATGGGTCAGGTATTCTCTCCTGAAAGGACAACGATTTTCACTGGATTCTGAAAGGATAATGATTTTCACTGGAACTTTACATAAATGGGACAAGAACAAGGTGGAAAGTCTAATCTCAATAACCAACATGGGAGGAATTCCTTATGGAGAAAGGGAAGGTGACAGCCTGAATTACACAGTCAGGCAGAGATGAACATACTGTCCAGAAGTAAATATATTTAATTTATCCTAATGCTTGAAGTCATTTTTGGTGGCTGTTTAGGCTCCAGGCCAAAGCTTGCTCATGTGAGGGAGAGTCTCATAAACAGCTCAATTAAAGGCATTAAAATGACTCATGTGTGTAAAGACATTCTCCTGTCTAAAACCCGTCAGGATCATCCAAAATGTGGGGTGAGAGCAGGACCCCCCTGCTCCTGTACCTCTGACACTGGAAATGAAGGTCTCCAACCTCTCCAGCAACTCCAGATCTCTCTCAAAGTCGTAAAAGTGGTGCTCGACCCAGTGACGAAAAACATTCAATATTCTGAGGAAAGAGAGAAAAACAAATGGTTCCTTTTAAGGACTTTCACAGAAACACCAAATTAAACAAAAAAAAAAACCCTGAGTTCCACATTCAGGTGATTGGTAACTCTTAAAACACACAAAGGAGCAGAACACAGACTGAGCAAGGCACCCATGACCACAGAAATCTCAGGTATTTAAGGCCTAATTTCCCAGTTTTAGCATATATATATATATTTTTTGTGTGTTTTAAAAAAATATCTAATAAAAAAAATGCCATTTCTAATGTCTTTTTTTTTTTTTTTATAAAAAAGCTAATTAGGATTTGCCATGTGGCAAGAAACAAAATGGTAATGGCCTCTTTCCTACACACAAATTTCAGCTTCAGAGCTGTTGCAGTTATTGTTACTGCCCTCCTTTTACAACTTTTTAATGACACGAAGAGCCACGCTAGATCCAATAATTCCTTTAAGGGTAACCCTAAACTCCCTCTTGATTTTTCCCCACCCTTTCTTAAACAAACCAGTAATAAACTCCAAAGTGAACTCCAACTGCTCCTCTGCCTTCTACGCTCAGGATAAATCAGAATAAAAAAAAAAATGGTTTGCCTCTTCCTCAGGTAAACAAGTTGAGCTCACACCTCAAACCATCTGATTGAACAAGGTGCAATTTGCTTACCTGAAGGGTGAGCAAAAATCTCCTACATCACCCGGGACAACAGATATTCCTTGTGCCAACTCAGCAGGTGGGACAGGCTGATGGGGCTGACGGAGATGGTTCCAGGGAGATGTGCTTACTCCAGCCCTGTGCTGCTGAACTGGGAGTTTTCCACTGGGAAACCAGTGCTAAATGGGTGTGAGGATACCGGGTTTTGGTGGCTCAGCCCTTTAAATTGGTGGCAGGAAGATGTGAGAGGGACAGGGCAGAGACCTGATGGCAATCTGTGAGTCACAGCTCTGGAGAGGGGCTGGCTTAGCTCAGACAAATTAATTACATCCCTGGGAATACACAGAGAAGTTCCTTAGCTCTCCTCTTCCCAGTGTGGAAGGGAAAAAAAATTAAGGTTTATCCCATAAAAGAATTGCTGCCCAAAGGGGTCCTTCGGGCTAGAAATCAGCACCACCTCCTGAGCAGCCCAGTTTTGACACAAATTGCCACTAAAAGTAAAACAGGATCTTATCTAACCCAACTCTGCCTTTGAGATCCAACGGTAGAAGCACTGGAAAAGCAGGAGAGATTGCCTGGATCTGCTGACTGCACTTGCCAGCTGAGCAACTGCTCCTTCTCATGACCTCACAGGCTTTTATGCCAAAGCCACTGCCCCTTCCAGGCCTGGGCACTGCAGGGCATCTCCCACCAGATGGGGAGTGCTGGGCAGGGGGGAAGGGATGTTCCCAAATCCCAGATCTCCCTGAAGTAGAGGTCAGTGCTATTCAACAAGGCTGGGATCTGCTGAGTGCATCAACCCACCAGCTCAAACCCAGACACACTCGTTTCCTAAGCTCTGAGACCCTTCCAAGCTCCTGGGAACACGTCACAGGGGATCACAAAGAGCTCCCAGAAAACAGCAAAGCACGAGGTGAGGGGCAGCTCTGCCAAGAACTGATAACTGTGGAGACTGCTGGTCCTGCTGAGCCCACAGGAGCTGATAAACTGGAACACCAAGGGCCTGATAAGCAGTCCAAGGCCAGGAGCACACTGAGGGATCAAGGTCACGCTGAGGTTGTAGGACTTGGAGCACGTTCAAGAAGGTGGTGGCTGCTACACAGGGAGGAGAACTCCCAGTATTACACACACCTTTATCTTTTTAATCTTTTATATATATATATGCACACGGGTATCTGATGGAAAGGGGACCTCTAAGTGACTTTCTGAAAGTACTGGCACGTCAGTGTTACCCTTCACTTGGAGTCAAGTGCTGCTGCTCCAACAGGTGTGGTTAGGAATGTGTGGTTAGAAGAGTAACTGAGGGTGCCATTAATAGTAAAATTAATGTGCCATTAATGGTAACCTCTTGATGCTGCTCATCCAAACAGTTAAAAGTTGTTCTAGCAAAAACTCTGGTTGTGATCTGTCTCCTCCTGACTCAGTCCTCAATCAGGGGGAACAATTAGCCTCATTCATGCTAGAAATGCTTAACTGTTCCCCAAATTAGCTTGGTCAGCAAGGCCTTGAAGATTCACTGCAGCCACTGCAGGGTGCAGCCCAGACAAGAGTCTCCCTGTCTGCGTGCAAACACATCCACAGGGGCTGGGAAAGGGAGGAAAACCCCAGCAGGGCTGGAAAACTGGAAACAAGAGGAATGATCTTCACAGGGCCTGGGAACAAGGAGCCCATTGAGGAGCGCCCTCAGCTACACATCCCTCACCCACAGGCGCTGTCCACAGCGGCCACGCAGCGTCTGTGGGTGGGGGATCCCAGCCCTGGGAACCAGAGCGCAGCTCCAGCAGCCAGTGGGACTGACGAGGGATCAGCGTCTGCAGGAATACCGTGGCATCATCAGGGGACTGGCTGGAAGGAAGGAAGCGGAAAGCAAACCAACCTGAGCTGCACGGGCTGCACGTATTCCTTGCGGAAGCGCTTCAGGTCGGCGCCGATGGGCTGCTCCCCCTTCTCGATGGCCAGCCTGTCCGCTTCCGTGGGCTCCGGCTCCGGGATCTCAAACCTAGGCAGGAGAGCACCACACAGCTGAGGGCAGGGAAGGGTAAACACAGAGCCTTTAGGGAGGACACGGAGAGCAGGTGTAGTTCAGATAAATTCAGCGCGGCCAGACCCGAGCGCTCCTCCGACAGACATCCAGCTCGCCTGGAATTCCCTCCTCCCCCAGACCCACGCTCGGCTAATTCACTGCTCATCACAAGATGTCTAGACTGGGATAGAGGGTTTTTAAGGGCCTGCTGGCTCGATTAAGGGAAGATTAGAGGAGAGCTTAAGAGCAGCTTTATCACGCTGCATTAAAATGCTGTTTCCATTAAGTCTGTGCGCTCGAACAAACCACTCAGAACGTTTCTGTCCTTATCTGCATCCAGACTTGGAAGTTTAGCAGTTCACAACACCACTACCCCACAGCCCAGGCACTGCAGGTGCTCCAGGTAATACCCAGTTCAGGTAACTCATTTCAACTGGAGAAAGGAAGGTTGTGTTAAAAACCTGGATCGCTGTTTTAAAAGTTACTGTTTTACAAACGTCACTAAAACACCTGGAACGTGGCACTGGGAACCTGAGCAGGGAGGCAGCAGCTGGAATCTCTGATCCCTCTTGGGACATTTATGATTCCAAATACACAAAACTCATCAGGAACTGCAGTGCCAGGACACGGGGAATGGCTTCCCACTGCCAGAGGGCAGGGTTAGATGGGAGATTGGGAAGGAATTGCTGGCTGGGAGGGTGGGCAGGCCCTGGCACAGGTTGCCCAGAGAAGCTGTGGCTGCCCCTGGATCCCTGGAAGTGTCCAAGGCCAGGTTGGACGGGCCTTGGAGCAACCTGGGCTGGTGGAAGGTGTCCCCTGCCCATGGCAGGGGGTGGCACTGGATGATCTTTAAGATCCTTTCCAAGCCAAACCATTCTGGGATTCTATTCCATGATTCTGAAACCTTTCCATAACTTCAGGAAGGATGCCCATTCCTTACCTTTCTATCAGCAAACTCAGCAGCTCCTGGGGCTTGCAAAAGGAGCGGTAGGTGGTGAGGAAAGTCCGTACGAAATTGGGATCTGTAAGGATAAGAAGGAGAAAATGATGGGAGTGTTTGGGGTTTGTTGGTTTGGGTTTTTTTTAAATCCAGTTGGAAAATATGGGAAACAAAAGACACAGAGAAAATTTTCATGTGCAGAAAATCTCACTCTAACACCAAAAATATCTAAATCTGCCCATGGCAAGGGGAGGGTAGAACGAGATGGTCTTCAAAGTCCCTTCCAACCCAAACCAATCTGGGATTCCATGAAACTAATACTCAAATACATCAGTTTATTCAGGAAAGGTGAGAAGAGCACAAGCCATCAAAATCCATCCCATTTTAGGACTGGAGGAGCTGGGACACACAGACAGCACAGCTGTGGGTAACCTGCACACTCAGCAGCTGCTCAATACCGAGCTTTCAATGCTATTTTAAAAAAGTTATTAGAGTTTCACACTATGTAATCCTAATTTCACAAAAATGATCACTTAAAAACCAGGCAGTTTTGTAAAAAGCACAAAGGAGGCTGTTACTATTCGAGAAGTTTAAAAAAAATTGCACAAAAATTCCCCTTTCAGCCTGTGCCTCTCACCCCAAAACCGAGACCTAACGTGTTCCTCACCATCAGCACTTCGTGGTTTCACTTCTGTGCCTTTAAGACACAGCATTTTACAGCAAAATTCCGCAAAATGCTGGCTTGTGATTTGCATCCTCTTCAACACAGGGACTTCCCAACGCGGCAGGTTGAATATAACAAATAAAATCAATACAACTTCCAACCCTTTTCTCTGTCTCCACAGACACACAGCCTGTGACAGCTCCACTGCTTGAGCAACGCTGATCTCAGCAAACACACTGCTGTGGGGTTTTTTGGGGGGGTGAAGGGTTTGCACGCCCAAAATTTCCATGCAGCTTTGCCAGCAAATTTACTAATATAATTACCAATAATTTTTTTTCCCTGCAAATCTTACTTTACATTTAATTGCAAGCAGGAAAAAAACCCCAACTAAAGCAAAGATAAGAGGATTAATTTCAGCCCCCGCAGAAGCACAACAAACACATCTGGAGGAGCGTGCAGGGTACCTGCATACATGTGGTAGGTCAGTCTCTCGATGAGCTTCACCACCGTGCCCCCCTTGATGATGGGGATGCCGTTCCTGCTCTGCAGGTTGTCCTCGAACACGATGTTCTCCTCGGAGTCCTCCACCACGAAGCGATAAACGCTGGGGCTGGGCAGCCTGAGGGGCTGCTCGTTCTCCTCCTGCAGCAGCACCGAGTCCAGCATCCTGTCCAGGGTGCTGCGGTACTGCAGGCAGATCAGCGCCGCCATCCAGTTGCTCTTCTCCTCGGCCGACTTGGCGGCGAACAGGACGCTGTTGTCGTCCTTGGACACCAGCTCGAAGGCGTGCCTGTACTCGGGGGTGTCCTCCTTGTCCACCACCTGGATCTTCCTCATGACGATCTTCTCCTTCAGCCGGTACTCGGCGCTGCTGTAGCCGGGCAGCCGCGACTGCCCGTGGTTGGCTTTGCAGCTGATCAGCAGCCCGTCGAAGAGGAAGATGTGCCGCTCGTGCTTGGCCCCGATTTTGGTCAGGCCCCCTTCCATGATGAACTCGTTGCAGCACTGCCCGATGTCTTTGCCTTCCCAGCCGTCGATGTTCTTCTGGATCTCGTTCATCTTCTTGATGGCCAGGTGTTTGCTGCGGATCTGCCGGTGGTAGAAGCGACACACCGGCTCCCTGGGGCGGAGGACAGGAAAGGTCACGACAAGCACGTTCCACGTTTGCCACCCCGAGAGACCGAAATAACCAACTAAATTAACTGCTTATGTATTATTTTTCCCCCCCCCCTAAATATGTCCCAAGAAAGCCACAAGCACTGCTTTGGCTGGGGAAGGAGTAACACATGCACATTATTCTTAGGAGCGGGGCGTGAAGGTTTTGGGCTGTTGCTCCGTTTACGGTGAAAACCATCAGAAAGACATGCCTTGAGAAGGAAATACACAGATTTCCTAACAAAGGAAAGATGATTTATCTCCTCCCCTGCCCATTTTGGGGGAGCCAGGGTGCGTCTGTGCTCACCCAGGCCGCCTCCTTGGCGAGTGCTTGCTGTAAATGCGCTCCATGCTGCACTGCAGGTTCAGGAGGGCGGTGATGGCTTGCTTGAGGCATTCCCGATCCTCCTCATCCTCACTGCATTCCTGCAATTGCTGGGACAGAACAAACAGTCATTTTCCTTTGGATTGGCCTGGTTTATAGCAGGGAAGGAGGGCTGGCAGGCATTCCCCCACGGTGTTCTCCGTGGTGCTCGGTGAAGTCAGTGAGTTAGCACAGGAACCCCTCAAAACAAGCTGTGCGAGAAACTACAAATACCTGTCAGATGGTCAGGAAAAATCCACGGATACTCAGCGGGAGAGAGTTTAAAAAGATCCCCCTTCACGCTTCACTGAGAGGCAGTGCTAATTGTCAGGTATTATTTTTCCTGTTACCTTCTCAACCATGTCCTGCTCACAACTGGTTTCACTGAAGAGTCTGAAGGTTTGAAACAGCCCCGAATGAAATGCTGGTTTCTGTAAGTGTGCCTATTCCTCCCATGAGTTCCTTCCAACAACCCAGAGCAAATCTGAAGGACAGAATGGGCAAGCTCCTCTCTTTGCTTCTTGCCACTCTACATTCTGCCACCTGCAGCAAACTCATCCATCTCGAGATAAAAAAATGTCCGTTTTGCACGGTGCAAACTGACAAGAGTCAAAAAAAGGGTCTGCATTCGAGATCTGCTCCTACAGCAAGATGTAAGGACAGTGAGAACCAGCACATTTCCTTTTCATAAAGACTAGATCTGTCTCCACCACGAGGCAGAAACTTCCTGAACTAGGAAACTCCCCAGGTTTTCCTACAGCCCTCCATCCAACTGGCAGCCTGAAAGCCCCTGCTTTTGGTTCTTTAAGGTGACACCTAAAACATTACTGGTAAAAAGACAAGATTTTTTTTCTCTTTTTAACCTCTTTCACCCTCAAGATTGTATGAGCCCTCCATGGCAGGGCGTGGAATGGGATGAGCTTGAAGGTCCCTTCCAACCCAGACCATTCTGGGATCCTGTGAATCGCCTGGAAGGCAAATTCAACTTGCCATGCATGGATAACCTCTGGATAAGACTCTGTTTTACCTCCATACTTAAGAGAAATCTTACTTACACTCAGCATGGCAGAGCCTTCTTTTTCCTTTCCCCACTACGTTCCCTCAGCAAGGATCCCTCAGCTTCCTCTAAAAGTAACGGAGAGAACAGGGATTGACCAGCTGGGTCCACTCCACGACATTCCAATCGCTAAACCCTCTCAGTTTTCAGGTGTCCAAACAACCTCCACCTTGCACATTGAACAAATTAATGGTTCACAACAATTTCCAGGGATTTTATGAGCTGAGGGACGGTGCAGGGAAGGGAAAAATCCATGGAAATCCGACTTTTCCTTACTGTCAGCCACAGAAAATGCAAAGAGTGTGAAGATGGTGGGAAGTGCAAACTCCTGAAGGTGGGAAAAGCTCCTGAGTCTGATAATTTCGTGGTTTGATGACGACACGGAGAGTCATGGGCAGGAATTTGGGATAATCTTGTGCCTGGGAGTCACATGGCAAGGGAGGATACACTCTCTATTCCAGACAGGAATATTCCTCTTCCTTAGGCAGGGACAAAGGCCCTGATGAAGATCCTGTTTTTGCAGCCAGGAGGAAAAGTTCTACAGCTGGAAGGAACTCTCAAGCTTTTCACACTTCAATTTCATTCATTTTAGTTTTGATATTTAGCAAAAAAAGCAAATATTTGAGGCCTGTGCTTTGGTAAATCATTATTTTATTTACCTCCCAATTCAGAAGGGGGTTTTGGGTAAATAGTCTCAATTTTAGCTTCTCTCCCTACAGAAACCTTGAAAATGTGAGTGTTTTGTTGTTTTTTTGCTTCCATTTTGAACTTCTTCAACCAGAGTTCCTACAAACAAATGCAATGGTGACAGAGAAGCAATACCAAAAGCTTTCAAGATGTTATATATCAATATTGTTGAATAAATACTTTCTCAATGCCTAAAACCCCTCTGCCTCCTAAAAACCTCTGCTGTCAATTGAGGATGTTTTCAAAGGACAACATAAAATTCAAACTTTAAACCTGTAACTTAAAGGGATCCCAACAAAAAACTCTGGGTTTACCATTACCACAGAGCAATATTTCAGATTTCTGTTCTCTGCTCACAAGGCTGGAAAGACTCAAGACAGCCAAGTGTCAGATTCTACTCAGAAATCTTGCATACTGTGGATAAAGATCAAATGTAATAATTTTCACTGCTAAAATTATTACCTTTCCTGCACCCTCCTGCTGTATTATCCTTTAAAATGAATAAAAAGCCCAACAAAATGATTTTGCACTGCCAGCCAGGCTTCACTCCTCAAAAAACACGAGGAAAACTCTGCTCCAAAGCAGGACAAACACTTTACACTTGTAAAACCAGCCGAAGGCTCAGAGTCTCCCAAAGCTGCAGCACGTGGGATTTCATTCCAAAATTTCATCCTGATGCACTTTCCCAGCTCTGAAGACACAATGGGTCATTAATTAGCCTGACCCTCAGCATAATGCAGGTCACTGATCCAATTATTCAGCGTGAAAGAGGAACGTTTTGGGAAGTTCCAGGGAATTACCGTAAGAGGCTGATGGTTATGGGAAGGGAAGCTCCACTGTTTGGAAAGAGAGGCTTCATCTCCAAACCAGCAGTGCTCCCTTCACATAAAGCTGGCAGAAGTGTGGAATCGTGGAATTGTTGAGGTTGGAAAAGCCCTCCAAGATCATGGAGTCCAATCATCGGCCAGCACTGCCAAGGTCACCGCTGACCCACGGCCACAAGCGCCACATCCACGTGGGTTCGAAATCCCTCCGGGGGGGGAGAACCCATCACTGCCCAGGGCTGGACAACCCATTCCATGCAGGAATTTCCCCAATATCCAACCTGAACCTCCCCTGGTGACCCTGGAGGCCTCTCAAGGTGCTTTGAGACAACTCTCGTCCTGTCTCCTGTTTTTTGGGAGCAGAGCCCGACCCACCCCCCCGCCCAGCTCCCCCCTCCTGTCAGGGAGCTGCAGGGAATTAAGGTTGTTTTGGGGGTATTTTTAAGCTTTGTAAGCTACTTCCTAAAGTGACTATCAACAGAAATGCCTAAAGATTTAAAATTTACCCAGCCCACGTGTATTTAAGTGGATTGGAAGGTGTCCCTGCCCGTGGAACAAGATGATCTTTAAGGTCCCTCCCAACCCAAACCCTTCTGGGATTGAAATCTTGCTACAAAATACTGGTTATCTGCACACCGGAGGTGGGACAAAAGAAATCATCCCTCACTTCTCCTTCTCTGAATCAGGACATGCAGAAATAAATCACAGCAGACATAACGAAAATAAGAGTGAACTTGAGAAAAAAAAAAAAAAAGGAACTTGTGCTGAGGAGATCTGGTGGTAACACAACTGCAGACATATCCTATGCTGCAAAGTTTCCTTTTCCTCCTTCATACCAGTAAATCCTCTGAAATCCAAGGTAAACCCACACAACACACCGTGTCCAACGTGGCCAGTCTCAGTTTTTACACTCAGGACCTAAAAGAGTCATTTCTGTTGCTATTCCCAAATGTCAGCTGTAGCCACGGGGTGTTTTTACCTGCTGCAGTCCATCCCAGTTGGTTAATAATTCCCTTACCCCTAAAGCATTACAAACTTTCCCAACACAACGGGGCAAACAGGAACTTTTTTTACGTCATCCTCAGCCACTTCCACTTAGGACAAATGGTTGAACATTAGGAATGGATTATTCTGAAATAATAAGCTGAGCTGCAACTGGAGTGTGACTTGAGGATCTGTTTGGCCGCTTGGGAATGGACAAAAACTCAGCACTCGAGGAAAAGAAGAAGTTAGATTTTTATAGGCAATTTTTAACTGTATTAGAACTCAAGGGTTGTTTAATAAATCATAGTTCAAATGCTCATGTCAGAGCAACAGATGATTCTGAGGATTCCTTTACATGTTTTCACTTTTCGGACATTTAGCAACCAGTGTCAAATCTATGTTTTCATCTCTAAGATGTAAGCAACACCTTGACACCTATTTAAAAGCTCTGATTCTCCCCATTAATAACTGCTTTTAGTGAGGAATGGCTTTGTTTACCTGCAGTAACTCGAAGTAGTGCAAACAGTGGTAGACTGGGATGAGCAGCAGGCGGGGCAGGACGTACTGAACAGCTTCTTTAAAGCCCTCAGCAGTGGACTGCAAAGGAAGAACAAACAGCATTATTTACACTCAAATCCTCCAATCAGGACTGGATTAAGGAGCAGTCAGGGCTTCCACACAATCGAAGAACTCAACTCCCCCCCCTGAATTCCCTTTTGTCCCAGGAATGTTTGCTGTGCTTCCATTACCTACAACACAGCACTGAAATACGGAGTCTCATCAGGCACTGAAGAAATCAGCCTTAATGTCACCCTGAGAAACTGAGCATCACAAGTTTATGACTTAGAAAACGTTAAATCTTTTCCCCTTCCCAGCTCTTAACTAAGACAATAACTCAGGTTGTAAAATGAGGAAAGACTTTTCCAAAGGACGATGAAATTCCTGCCATCTTCCATATCAGGAGAAACGTTGAGCAGCAACTGAATTATCTCTCATCCTTTTTGAAAATTCCCTTTTCTGCCCTCACTCCACAGCTCAGAGAAGAACTGTGAAGGAACATTCCTGAGAAAGGTGATCACAGAACCATGGAATGGTTTGGGTGGGAAGGGACCTTAAATCCAATCTCAATCCATCCCTTTCACTATCCCAGGTTGCTCCAACCTGGCCTTGGACACTTCCAGGGATCCAGGGGCAGCCACAGCTTCTCTGGGCTTCTCTAATTCCTTTAGCTGGAAGTAAAGAATTACTGACAAAATTCAAGCCTTTGAAATGTGAGAATTAAAGCCTTTGGGTATTTGCCATTTGCACTCACCTGGAAGTGGAGAGCAACAGCAGGTTTTGCCATTAAGTTATTAAAATGCTCATGGAATTGTGGAGAGAGAATATCCTGGGACAAGGTTTCATAGGGATCAAAGGCTTGTTCCTAAATAAAAAAAACACAGAATGATATAAATGCATGAAGGATGCAAGATTATTTCTGCCCCAGCTGGTACAATTATCGCCCTTGAGAAGCTGCCACACAAAAGGGGGAACTTTTCAAGAAAATATCGATTTTTGCAAAACAAATCCTGAGGAAACCACAACCCTTTCTCACTTCCAGCTGCACACGAGTTTCTCAGCATTCCTCCATCTCCCGAGAATCATTGATGGCTGCCTCTGGATCAGCTGTGCCAAAGCCTGGCAGGCTGATCCCAGTCCCTGCAGATCCACTGGGCTGAATCACTCCCGAGTGCCCTGGGATAAAGCACATCCCTCTTTTCACCTTGACTCTTCCCAGAATGCAGGCTGCCAAATTTGGGAATACCAACTGCCACAAAAGGCTCCTCGGAACATTCAGGTGGAGTCACAAGTTTTCCAGTTGCAGAGGGCCCAGGGGAATTCCAGTGAAAGTCTTTGTGGGGAGCAGAGGCAGGGAACAAATGCTCTTTTCATATGCAAATTGTAATTATCGCTCTCAACTCTCCTCATCAAGTTTAATCATCACTGGCCACCCGTATTTTGGGAGTGGAGGGGATGAAAGAGGGGAAGGTTTGGCGCTGCAGCAGCTGATGAGAAATTATTAGACACTCTCTAATTGACCAAACTGGTTTTCTTCAGCAGATTCTGAATTGAGTTTAAAGCCCGGTGGGTTTTATTTTTTTGTTTATTCCACTGCAGCAAACATAAAAATCACAGAAACCCAGAAGGGGTCGGGTTGGAAGGGACCTTAAAGTCCATCTCATTTATCCTCCAGCCATGGCAGGGACATCTTCCACTATCCAAGGTTGCTCCAACCTGGCCTTGGACACTTCCAGGGATCCAGGGGCAGCCACAGCTTCTCTGGGCAACCTGTGCCAGGGCCTGTCCACCCTCCTAGCTGGGAATTCCTTCCCAATCTCCCATCTAACCCTGCCCTCTGGCAGTGGGAAGCCATTCCCTGTGTCCTGTCCCTCCATCCCTTGTCAATAGTCTCATCCCATCCTTCCTGTGAGTTCCCTTCAGGTACTGGAAAGTTACATATTTTAGAACTGGTTTCAGTTGGTTTTGGATTTGTTTTCTGAGCATAAGATTGAAATGAACTGCATTAGGGATCTTCCCTAAGAGACTAATCATAAAAAAAAAAAAAAGGGGTTCACACTTGCAGTGCTGCAAAAGTTACTGAACTATGGAGTTATGGAATACTGAAAATAACAGCCCTCAGCTGAAGGAGGGCAGGGCTAGATGGGATATTGGGAAGGAATTGCTGGCTGGGAGGGTGGGCAGGCCCTGGCACAGGTTACCCAGAGAAGCTGTGGCTGCCCCTGGATCCCTGGAAGTGTCCAAGGCCAGGTTGGAGCACCCTGGGCTGGTGGAAGGTGTCCCTGCCCATGGCAGGGGGTGGAATGAGATGAGCTTTAAAATCCCTTCCAACCCCAAAAAATGCCGTGATTCCATGGAGACATTAACCTGATGCCACATAAATTATTTCAATGCAGCACACAGTTGATGTTTGCACCCTTCAGCCCCTCTGGTGTGTGCAGTGGCTTCCACCTTTTTTTCCCTTGTGGATACTAAAACTCCTCTCCTATGGGGACACAAATATCAGCAAAACAAATTCACAATCTACTGACAATAACCTGTTTTATCAGCTGCCTCCTGGAGATCACTCCAGAGTAGGCACAAAGACCCTCTGCCCTCATTTCCTCCACAGCAGGAAAAAAATTGTTTTATTTGCCCCATATTAAAAAAAAAAAACCAAAAACCAAAAAAACAAACACACAAACCAGTCTTGTTTTCCCCATACTTGAAATTAATGTTTCGTTTTCCCTCTCTCAAAACCACGACAAATATTTACTACTTCTAGACCTTCCACAGAGATGGGACGCAGGAAAACAGACAAAGCAGGAAGATTCCAGCCTGGGAGGGTTGTTTGGTTTTTAATTACCCTTCCAAAAGGAGCGAAGGACCTTCACAATGGAAACACTAAAAGTGAACAAGCCTGGCAGGGAGATAAGGAGAGCAAATAAACACTTCACCTTCCTATCTCTCTTTAATGATCCCTTCTGCAAACACTCCCAGAGGGATGATCTCACCCTGGGACATGAACTGAATTAATAAAGACAAAATTATTACCCTCATAAAAAGCTTGGAAAAATAATCTGCTCTTCGTTTCCTATTGAAAGTTTTTTTCAGGGATCGGAAAAAAAAAATCAGGTGAGATTTTTGCTCGTTGGAGAGGATTTGTTTCCCTGAAAGCACAGGATGACTAAAAGCAGATTTTGCAACAAAATGAGATTTTTTTTTTCCAGGACAGCGCTGCACTGTTTCAAATTTTAAGTATTTTTTTCCCCCAGTTTTAATGTAATATCTACTTTAATTCACTGAGCAAACATTCCTCCTTATCATCATAAAGCAATTATGCTTCAACAGCTTCAGAGCTGAGACCTGGTCAGCTGGAATTCCCTACTCATGAGTGGTTTGTTAAAGCAGCGCCAAGGAAACTTCATCTTTATGGTCTATCCCCAAGTGAGTGGCACCTGGGCTCAGAGATCAGCTCCTGCACAGCCACAAAAAATGGGATTACTGCTGGTGTGTTCGTGCAGCCCTCAGACTTCACGTTCACCCTCGGGTTTTAAAAACTGGAGAGAAGTAAAAATTCAACGGAATTTTTATTGTTGTTTTTAATAAACATCATAATTTTAAGCTAAAAAACATATGTATTCTTTCTCAAGACAGACCAACTCACTGATTTCCTCTGCGACAGGGGTTTACATGATTCCCTTCACATTTTAGGTCTAAAAAAATGGGATTAAAGCACCACCCAAAGACTCCATTTAAACGTGTCCAGTGACAGCAAAACCTCCACCTCTGCCTTGGTCATTCATTCCAAGAGTTTGCTCCTCAGTCAGTTAAAAGTGTGCTGGATTCCAAGATGAACTGTCCTCTTTTTTCAGGTCCTGCTTCCTCCCCGTGCACCTCTGCTGAATTTCAGGGTCATTTTGCACCTATTTCCAGGTCAGATAGGTACCTGTATACCTGAATATATACCTGTATATTCTGAACAAGCTGAGCTCTGTCCCACTTGCTCAAAAACTTTAGTTTTGTGACTCCCTTCCGTATTTCAGAACAGTTTTATGGAATAGCTGAATATGGAGCATTTCAGTGCTCAATAAAGCAAAAAACCCTGACAAAATAATGGTTTATAATGTTCCAATATGAGCCACACCCAACCCCTGTGCAGTGTTTCCCCTTATTCCTGCTCTTTAATATCTATTTTATAGGTCAGTGGGTATCAGCAGCACTTTTGCCACGATTCTGCCCCATCAGCTGCTTCCCAGACTCGCTGCTGCTTGGAAACACCCGTGGAAACATCTCCCATTCCAGATGAGAACCAGAGAGTTTTCCCGAACTAAAACCACGTTCCCGGCGATTTAATAAAAGCAAACATTGAAAAAAACCCACCCCAATCCAACACTGTTACCTCTGCAAGGTCCTCAAAGCAGCTGCCAGCCAGGGGGTGGGGGCTGCTCTCATCCGTCATTTCCACCGTGTCCTCGATCAACCCCAGGAGCTTCACCGTCAGCTCGTGGATGTCTGAGATGTTGCTGAATATCACCTCGATATCCTGCAAAGGTCAAACGTGTCTTTAAGTCCTGCTGGGAGTGTTTTATTCATCGGGGAAATGTTGGAGCTTTCCTTGGCTGAACCAAGAGGTAAATGGAGAGGAGCTGACAAGAAGCGGGGACGAAAGTTGGAACTCCGGGGTCTTCCCGGCCCTCCGGGCACATCCAGGCTTGCCCAGTCCTCACACCATCCTGCCCAGGCTGCTGGAGCTTTGGACAGGAATTCCTGGCTTTTCCAACTGTTGTTGTCCCCTCTGCTTGTTCTTATCCCACAGAACAACAGGAAGGAAGCGATTTAAAGGAGGGAATTTACAGGTTGGACGGGTCCAACTAAATCAGCTCCTGGGCTCCTGCAGCAGAGGAGGAATCAGCAGCTTCCTCTCCCAAATTCTACTTTTAGATTAGAAATTTCTCATCCCCGTTCCCAAAAGAACATTCCTCAGCTCCAAAGCCATCACTTCCTTCTCCTCCCATCACCTTTACTTGGATTCTGTCCTCACGTCTGCACAATTCCCTGGTAAACCATCAGCTCCCGAGGAGCCTCCACACCCAGCTGGAATGGGCAGCTCCTGCTGCCTCTTTTTAACCTCAAAATCCCAGTTCAGGTTCTTCTGGGTCCCCTTCTCCTTCTCCCACTGGAAGGATTCCCTAATCCCTCCTTATTCCTCCTCCTCTTACCACAGCTGAGCTTCCCTTTTAGACTCCAGCGTTCCAAAACCAGGATTTGCCACATGTGCAATATCAGTCAGAACATTTCAATCGTTCATCAAACACAAACTGCCCTCACAGTGAAGAGAATCCAGAGCCAGGGGCTGTTTGACTTGGAATTTCTACAGATTACAGTGCCCTGGGGTAGACTTCAAATGGCAGTTCAAGTGCCTGCATTCACTGCAGATGCAGGTAAATAACTTAATTTTTATGTTAAGCAAAAATGAAACTATTAGCCACATGACCAAAACAATCCTGCTGGCTGGCACCTGACAGGGAATTGTGTCCATTAAGCTGCACTCCCACAATATTAATGGCAACTCCCCCACAGGATTTCCCAAACAGACAACACTCACCATTCACCCCCAGACCAATAAATCAAATTTAATTTTACCTCCAACACAGTTAAAAGTGGACAAGCTTAGGCTGCTAATGGAGCAATCAGCACCACCCATCAACAACCACTAAAGGACTCACATTGGGTGTGAAGAGCTTTCTGTTGGACAGGAAAGCCTCCCGAAATACTTTGATGATGAGGTTGAGCTCCCGCAGGTACTGCCTCTCCTCTGCTATTTCGTTCCTCACCAGGTCGTAGTAGTTGAGCTCCCCAGAAGAGGAGGGCTCGTCCTCACACAGGGAAACCAAGCCAATCTCATCCTGATCAAACATATCCATCAAAACCTGGCGGTGGAATTCAAAAAAATAAAATTAAAAACAAACAAACAAAAAAAAAGACATCGAGCCTGATTTTCACACTTGGCTCCAGCTCAGCTGTTTCCACGTGCTCAGAGAAATCCTGGGAGTTTTTAATACAATACTTTCTGTGCTCACTTTCACAAGGGAGTAATATTTAAAACTTTGGCAGCAGGAGGCTGGCTCAGCTGCCAAAGCCATTTTTCCCTCTGGAAGTTAGTATGGCCCAGAAAACAAGTTACAATTCGGGCAGAATCAGCTCTGCAAACAAGGCATCTTGCATAAGGCTCGGCCAAAACCCTCCTGGGTAAAGATAAAATTCAACAAAAATGTTTCTCATTTTAATGGGGATGAAAACTGAAGGTCTTTTCTGTGTTAGGAAGAAGACCTGCCGTGACAAAGTGACACCAGCAGGGCCGTGACAGCAGAGAAATAAAGGACAACACCATTTTCTGTCTGTAAGCACTAAAAAGTACTCACAAATTTTAGTTTGCAATGAAATTTAAAAAAAATCACCTCTAGGTACTGTTTGAATCCCAACTCTTTTACCTTATCAGCACACATTGACACTTTGATGTCCTGCTGGGAGATCTCAAAGTGCCGGATGTTGAACACGTAGTTCCCAGCCAGCTTTAAAATGTCGGCTGAGATGTATTCCAAGACAGCCACGATGTAGAGAGAGACGTGGTAATCCACCTTATAGCCCAGGACCTCCTGCCAAGAGGGAAAACAAAAGGTATTTATTGCAGGAATTCATCTGGAATTAAAATTAACACACGGAGTTTTCTGTGGTGGTAACTGTAAATGGAACAGCAAATGCAGACTGGGCCCATCTGCCTCAGAGGGGAAGCTGGTAAATCTGTGTGTTATTTTGCCATTTTAACAGATGAAAAGCTGCAGAACTTGCAGTGATTCTTCCTCTCAAGATGACACTCCTAAAAATAGGGTTCCTGCAAGGAAGGGACTTCACTGGAACCACTGCTGTACTTCATTTTTCATCTACAGCTGTGCTTATTGCTCTGGTCCTGGTCTGGACTTCTGAGAACAGGGCAGGTTTCACTGTCACAGAGTCCCAGGGTGGTTTGGGTTGGAAAGGACCTTAAAACCCATCCCATTCCACCCCCTGCCATGGGCAGGGACACCTTCCACCAGCCCAGGGTGCTCCAAGCCCTGTCCAGCCTGGCCTTGGACACTTCCAGGGATCCAGGGGCAGCCACAGCTTCCCTGGGCAACCTGTGCCAGGGCACAGCCAGCAATTCCTTCCCAATCTCCCATCTAAGCCTGCCCTCTGGCAGTGGGAAGCCATTCCCTGTGTCCTGTTCCTCCATCCCTTGTCCAAAGTCCCTCTCCATGTTTCTTGTTGGTTCCCTTCAGTCCCTGCAAGGCCACAATGAGATCACCCCAAAGCTTCTCCAGGCTGAGCCATCCCAATTCCCTCAGCCTTTCCTCAGGGCAGAGCTGCTCCATCCCTCTGATCATCCTGGTGGGTATATAAAGTAATTAAACTTTAACAATGAAATCCTAAATATAAAAAAACAAACCCAGGATGAACATGGCACGTTCTCCTGAGGACACACGTCCTGCAGAGCTTGTTCCACAGGGCCTCTTACCTGGGACAGGACTGTCAGCACCAGGGAAATCCACAACACATTTGAACAAAGCAAATTTGTTCTTACCACGTATTGGTGCATCCTCCTAAAAATCAGATTCTGTGCCTGTTTTCACCCACTTCTAAACCAGACTCGACCAAAAAAAACACCCCTGTTGTCTAGGAAGATCTTATTTCACGCTGTTTTCTTGCCTAACATCTCTTCCCCTCTCGTTAACCCTCACAATCTAAGACTGTGTGTGAGGACACCACAGCCAGACCCAAGAAAGGGCTTTCATTTCTGCTTTTTTTTGGGTGTTTTTTGTTCTGTTTTCTCAACAGCTGCAAACACCTTTGCAGATCTCATGATTTTTAAACCCCAAGGCTCCAGTGGCACTCAGCAGTAACCCCAAGGACACACATCTTAGTTGACAGTACACAAGAACGAGACCTGCTTGTTCTCCTTCCTCCTGTTTTGGTTTCTGCAGCATTTTGGGACAAATAAAGGCATCAAAGCAGCGCTGCTGAAGCAGGGAAGGTATTTGGGGGTTTATTTATGTTAAAAACTAACTAGTCATGTTTCAAAGGAGAGTTAATAATTAACACAGTGATGTCTATGATGAATTTTAGGATCTGCTTTTATTATCACTGTAATAAACCCATCCTGCTCTGTGGTGACTCTGGGCTCCCTCAGCCCACGAGAGAAACTCCTTTAACGTCACACAAATTAAAGGAAGACATGAAAGGTCATGCTGGAAGGCAAAAGCACAGCAGAGGGGGTGAAGTACCTTCAGTAAGGGATGGATTTTGTCCACAGGGAGCAGGAGAGGGTTCCTTCTTTTCCGTTTCTCTATGGCAGACTGAGCATCGGCGATCGCCCACTTGTCGATGGGGTGAGGAAATGTCTTCTGGACCCGCTCCTGGGCAAACACACAAAGTGCACTGAGATCAACCACAGCCATCAGAGAGAAGGTTAAATAAAACCCAGCACAGCAAATTACTTCCCCTGCAGTGCAGGCAATTATCCTCCTCCTCAGTTGTTTGCAACACGGTCTCCCTAATTGTTCTCGCCCTCTTACCCAACTCGGCTTCCCTCTCTGCAACAATCCCAACCAACCTCCCTTCCCTGAGCACCGAGAACTCCTTCAAATCTCCTAAAATACCTCCTGATCTGTGATCTTTGCAGGAGCAGCAAGAAAACTCAGCTGAGATTGAGGATTCAGTCTATACTTTTAGTGGAAGTCGTCCCATCCCTGCCCGTGGCGGGGGGTTGGAAATGGATGGTCTTTAAGGTCCCTCCCAACCCAAACCATTCTGGAATTCCATGAGACCAGGAGCCCAAAATATAAACACCATCAGGAAATACTGAACAGTTTACAGGTTACAAAAAAACCCAACAAGTTGACATTGTTCATATTTAAAAAAGGGTGTAACTAGCCCAACATCAGATCAAGTTTATGGCAGAAATGAAAAAGGGAAGGATGAGATGGGAAAAAATGGGGGAAATCTTGGTGTCCCTTTGATAAAAAGGTTTTTGCACATATTCTGAAATCTAACAGGAGGCCTGGGGTTTTTTTTACAGGCAGGTTTTCTCAGGGGCAGCTTTTCAATATTTGCATTTGGCCATTTAATGCTCAATTTTCTGTGTCAGTGCCAGGCAAGGACAGGGTGACCTTTCCTCTTGGAGAGCGGCCGACAGCGCCGGGCTGGGTCACCAAAACGGACCTTCCTCGAGATCCCACCAGGAGATCAGCCCAAAAATGGAGATAATGTGGCAGTCAGATGTCCTTCAACACGGAATCACAGAATTCCAGAGAGGTTTGGGTGGGAAGGGACCTTAAAGCTCATCTCATCCCACCCCCTGCCATGGGCAGGGACACCTTCCACCAGCCCAGGGTGCTCCAACCTGGCCTTGGACACTTCCAGGGATCCAGGGGCAGCCACAGCTTCTCTGGGCAACCTGTGCCAGGGCCTGCCCACCCTCCCATCCGGGAATTCCTTCCCAATATCCCACGTAAACTTCACGAGTAACAGGCTCCTTCTGCACTCCACCTTCACTGCTCCCCAGTGTTTTCCTGGGAACTCTTTTAAAGGCTTTTTCTATTTATAGAACATTTATAATTTGAGATTTTTTTTTTTAGACCTTGATCTTGCAAACATTGAAGTCTAAGATCATGCACAAACAGTCCCATTAACTCCAGGCTGGTATGTAAATATCTGCATCACAAACCACAGAGAGATCCCAGCCCTCCTGTTTTCTCCTAACAGCTAAAAACAGCCCAGGAGCAGATCCAAAAACCCTTATCCGTGGATCTCACATTCCTGCCGGCAGCAAAACCTCCCCAACAACCCAGAACAAAACTGAATTATAATGTCCCTGCTCTGGAAGGGTCTGAACGTATCGACCTACGGGACATTTACGCCTAACTCGGTGTTTTTTTAAATGAAATAACTTACACTGCCGAGATCAGCAGTGTTTTATTCTTCACAGCTTTAAACCACAGGGAAAATACCCAGGATTTGGTTTTTTGCTGTGATAGTCCCAAACCAGAGCTGAGGGTCTGATCAGCTGGGAACTGCAGAGAGAAGGTGGAACTTCTCAGCTCTGCATCCAGAGTTCAAATCCAGGCTCAAATCAGACCCTCCAACCCCGAGAGGTGTTAAATGACCATTAAGTTTTGCTTTTACTTAGTGATTTGATGATCTTTATGCATCACTATCTCAAAACACTCTTATCATACACCAAAATTAATAATTAATAATTAACCTTGAATAAAGGGCATCTAATAAGAACCTAAAACCCTTCAGGCAATTATTTTGTAAATACATATTTTATGTATACATATATATATATATATATATATATATATATATATTCTTTTTAATTTCCATGACACACATATACAAAATATTAGATATTTTTGTGCATTATATGTACTATTCCTTTTATTTCCACGACACCCACAGGGAATACCACACAAGGACGTGGTTTTGCCCCGGGCTATAAATCCCAGACATCCAGATTAATGCCAAATTAATACTCTGCAAAGCTACAACGGGTCCCAGCCACATGGAAGCCCTTTTTCCCCCCTCCAGACTCCATTAAACCCTCATTTTGGAATGATGACACAAAAGCAGGCAGCTGCAATAACACAAGAGCCTCAGTGAGTTCAGTAAAATCCCAGGAACACCCAGCTCTGTTCCCCTCAGCCCTGGCAACAATAACCTTTCATTCCAATATTGCCTTTTTCTTCCCCACCTCCTCGTGTGTCAAAAAGGAAGGAAAATTCTTAAATCCAGAGTGTTGGAGGAGTTAAAAAAAAAAAACCTCCCAAGCATCCTGCAAGGAAAAATTCCCACCATTTCTATTCTGAAAGATAGGAAAATGAGTTTGTTAATAAAACCTAAACAGAATCGTGGAGCGGTTTGGGTTGGAAGGGACATTATTAAAGCACATCCACTTCCACCCTTTGCCAAGGGCAGGGACACCTTCCACTGGCCCGGGGTGCTCCAAGTAAATGCTTTTTTAGGGGTTTTTTTTGTGTTTTGTTTTTTTTTTTGGTTTCCCAGCATCCATTTGTACCTCCACGTCTTGCACAGTGCGGGGCTGAGCGATGCACAGCTTGTTCAGCAGCTGAAGGATCAGCTCCTCGATGTAATACAGGGAATCCTCCTTGGCCGACAGGTTGGGGTGAACCTGCTGCTGGACCTGCCCGGAAGGAACCACAGCAATTAGGATTTTGGGGGGGCTGAAAGTTGCGGAGAAAAGGATGGATCAATTCAGCACTGCCGGCTCACACGGCTTCCACTCGTTTCCCACGGGTTTTCCTAGGGAATTAAGGTGGGAATTCCCACTCCTGCAAGGAATAACGAGTGTTTGGGTGTTGTGGTGGGGAAGGAGTTCCAATCCCTGTGGGTTACTCATCCCAGAGTGAGTAACTGCAGTCCCATTCCCGACCCTACGGAGCGAGTGGTGCAGTCACCACCTGCAGGAACAACTCGCCCTGCCTGGCTGACTGAACACTCACCAGAGGGAAGGGCTGGATAAGCAAGGAAAAGCTGATTTCCACCTCTCCCCAAAGCCAGGCAGGATCATGGGGTTTATCTCACTTCATGGAGATTAATCCCAGCTTTGGTTTCCAAGGCTGAACCAGAGCAGACAACCCCAAACGGGCGACCTCGGTGTCTGTGCCCACAATTAACTCATCCTGAGCCAGCAGGAGGTTTTCCCAATAAAAATAACCCCCCCCAATCAAACCACCCCACCTTAAAAAGAAAGAAAAAAAAAAAAAAAAAAAAAAAGCTCTCAAGAGTTTAGTCCCTACACTCAGTTTTCCCTGGCAGCATCTCAATCAGGAAAGCACTAACTAGACCTCAAACTATAGCCAAAGGATTCGTCAGGAATACAATCCAGGGAAATTCCCTCCTCTCCCCCTAAAAATTCTGTGTTAATCACCTCAAAAAAAAATTAACCTGACACACTCACGTTGGCATTCACAAGACAAATGGGTTGGGAGCTTCTTGGGGGAAGACAAGAACACCTTTGGGTGCAGATGAAATACAGGCACTTCCAACTCCAAATCCCATGGGTGAGACCCCAAAATCTGGGAGGCTCTGAGGGCTTCCTCCAAATTTAACAGAATCCCAGAATGGTTTGGAAGGGACCTTAAAGCTCATCTCATTCCACCTTCTGCCATGGGCAGGGACACCTTCCACCAGCCCAGGCTGCTCCAACCTGGCCTTAGACAATTCCAGGGATCCAGGGGCAGCCACAGCTTCTCTGGGCAACCTGTGCCAGGGCCTGCCCACCCTCCCAGCCAGGAATTAATTCCCAATATCCCATCTACCACCCTGCCAGCTGGGTGTAACAAACCTGTCCAGTTTTGTTACAGAGTTTTTGTACAGCCCTGTAAACGTAATTTCACTTTCTGCGCCTCCAACACCAATCTCACCCAGCGCTTCCCAGAACTGTTCCCCAGCTGACAGGGATAACAAGATCCTGAAAGGAAGAAAGGATCCTCAAGAAAACCAAGCCCCCACTCCTTGAAAACTCTTACTTAAGACAGCAGTTCTACAACAATGGCCTGGGCATTTCGTGCTCTTCCTGAACATGAGAGTTTAATTCCCAAAACAATGGAAAACCAGGAAGTGCTGAGTTAAGGTCCCTCCACTGCAGAAAAAGCACTTGCTAGCAAGGGAATAAGAAGGAATTTTATGTCCCCACAGTGAACCCTTAAAGATGTTCCAGAGGACTGACAAGAACAGGCACTGTCAGAAGGTGAGGAAGGGAAACCTTTTCCCCCCTCAGGAGCAGAGAGGGAACTCCCATTCCCTGTACTGGAGCACCTGGATATCCAGCAAGGCTGAGGGGCAGGAGAGGAGCACAGAGCCCTCCTCAAACACTGACAGGGAATCCCAACTTCACACAAGGAGCACAAATCCCAGAATTCCAGGACGGTTTGGATGGGAAGGGATCTTTAAGATCATCTTGTTCCCACCCCCTGCCGTGGGGAGGAACACCTTCCACCAGCCCAGGCTGCTCCAACCTGGCCTTGGACACTTCCAGGGATCCAGGGGCAGCCACAGCTTCTCTGGGCAACCTGTGCCAGGGCCTGCCCACCCTCCCAGCCGGGAATTCCTTCCCAATATCCCACCTAACCCTGCCCTCTGGCAGTGGGAAGCCATTCCCTGTGTGCTGTCCCTCCATGCCTTGTCCCCAGTCCCTCTCCAGCTCTCCTGGAGCCCCTTTAGGCCCTGCAAGGGGCTCTCAGGTGTCCCTGGACCCTTCTCTTCTCCAGGTGAACCCCCCCAGCTCTCCCAGCCTTTCCATCCCTCAATCTTCACTTCAGGCCCTGTGTAAATCCTGAAGTCAATTTTTTCTCTGAAAGCAGCAAAGCTGACAACGAAGCCCAACATTTCCTGGTTGAGACAACTCCTCCCTGAGGATCTGGGAAATCAGCTTCCCTTTGAAATGAGTTTGCCTGCAGCATCCTGGCAGGTCCCCGAGGTACCTGTGCACTCCTTGGCTTCCAGGGACGTTATTTTGACAGAAGTGATGAGAAAAACGGAATATTTCAGAGCAAGACACTGTCTGTCAGAGCAAAACAAAACCAGCTGTTATAAAAGCCGTGAACTGGCTGATCAAATCAGATGCCTCTGGATCAAGGAGCACTTATTCCCTACAGCATTCCCCTTAATCCTGACTAAAAAGGACTGGAAAAGCAAGGAGGGATCAACAAACACTGAATACACACACAAAAAAGTAGGAGGAATTACCGAGGACACGTTCCTTAGGGAAGTGATTCCAGGTTCAGACCGAAATATCTGAGCAGAATTAAATGAACTGGCATGGAATAAACATCAGCAAAGTGCACTGGGTGAATATTATCTGTCTGGTAAATACCCTTTAAAAAACCCACAAGGTGTTTGCAGTGAGCAGCCAGAGCTCAAAAAAACCAAAGTATCACAAAAAACAGATTTTTTAACCTATTTTATCCCTGAAACAGTGGAGTGTCTGAAGTCACTAAAGAGGGAGATTAAGATTAGCAGGACTGATTTCTACAGTGTCATCCACGTGGGATTATTCCTCCAGGAGCTGTTCCAAGGAATGGAAATTAAATAAGAGGTACAAGCGTGGCATTTAAACTTGGCCTTAAGGCCTTCCTGAGTTTTTATTTATTTATTTATTTTAGATGGGAATTCCTAAACTGTTGATTCCCCTGCTCCTCTCCTCCCTTTCTCCCTACTTTTCTACCCCCCCTCAACGTGCATATTTGCTGAAAAGCCACAAAAGCCTCTCCAGAAATGAATCCAAGCTCAAAATTCCCTCCTCAGTAAGGTGTTAATAATCCTCAAATTGTCTATTCAGAAGAGATGGGGATGAAAACCTTTAGTGGAGATAAACAGTATTAAAACTACAAACAGTATTGAAACTACCATCAGTATTAAAACTACAAACAAACTGAGGTTTTTCTGGGTTTTTTTTTTTGGCAGGGTTAATTTTGAAGGGCAGGAATTGTGGTGTGAAGCCTGAATGGCACTAACAGCTGGATTTGGGGTGATCCAGAACTCCAGAGGATAAAAGCAACGGGCAAAGGGTTGAATCTGACATGACAGAAAGCTGAGGGAAAACAAAATTAAGAGCAAAAAAACCTGAAAATAACTTCTTTTTAGCCTGTGCTAATGGGACAAACCAGCAGTTTGGCCATTATAAGGAAATGTATTTTTACATAATAGATGTATTTCGACAGTAAATACACATCCATTAAGCTCCAGTTGTTCCACAGCGAGCACAAGAGCAAGGCAAGAGATGGTTCATTAAAAAAAAAAACAACCCAAGAGCAGAAAAATCCCAGCACACACCATCACAAACACATGGATTCATATTCCCGAAAGACCTGACAGCAACATCCCATTTCTCTGCTCCTGTTCAAAACCACATTTCCAGAACACAGAATTCCAGAGTGACCGGAGATTTCAGCACAAGGAGTTTCTCATTTCAGGCTGGGGTTTTATTCCCTCTTACCCTTTCCCTCCTGAAGATAACCCTGACCAGGAGAAACACAAAACATCTGCTCCAAAGGCAGGTTTTTAATCGTGTGTCTGGATGATGCCCCAGAGGAAGGGAACCAGATAGAGTAACTTTAAAGTTTCTGATGCTCTTCTTCAGTGAAAAGGGAGTTTTCTATTCCCAACTGATTGATATCCCCAACTGATTGATATTCCCAGAGCATAATTCTTCAGAAAGGACCACAAATATTTAAACACTTGAAGAGAAATCCCAAATAAAAACGCACTGTCAGCTTTGTAGTTTTTTTTTCCATCTTAAGCTATTTAACTACAGTTTTCCTTTAATATATTGTAGTTGAGGGAACTGAAGGAGGAATGATCTGACGCTCAAACAGCATCAAAGACTGTCCTAAGATCTCCTGGGAGATCTTAGACATAAAAAAACCATGTTAATAATGACCCCAAACCACACCAACTCCCCTCTCTTCAGTTGATTGTTGCTTCCTTTGATACCCAGGAACTAAACTGTGGGCCTGTTTACATGTAAACAAACCATACATACATTTTAATCTTAAAAACTGAGGGAAATTTGAGTGTTTGGATTTTATCCAGCCACATGAAACGCTTTGTTTAAACTGAGATAAAGGAGCCTGGGTGACGGGGAAGGGACCCCCCCCGTGGAGATGGCTGTGCACACACACCTGAATTAAGGCTGGTAATTCTCCCCAAATTCTCCTAATTGTCCAAAAACTCTTCCACAGGGAGCTGAGAGCTGCTCTGGGCTCTGAGTTCAGCGCCCAGGGGCTCCCTCTCCCCACTTTTTACACCCCACCCTTCCCAGGAATGGCTCACTCGGGTAGATTGAATTATTCACACCTTGAATCCGAATCCCAGAGTGGTTTGGGTTGGAAGGGACCTCAAAGCTCATCCCATCCCACCCCCTGCCATGGGCAGGGACACCTTCCACCAGCCCAGGATGCTCCAACCTGGCCTTGGACACTTCCAGGGATCCAGGGGCAGCCACAGCTTCTCTGGGCAACCTGTGCCAGGGCCTGCCCACCTTCCCAGCCAGGAATTCCTGGAATCTGGAGACAGTGAAGACCCTCAGAGTGATTTCTGGATGTCACTGAAATGACATTAAAAAACTGGGGAGAACAGAGGCCGTGGAGACAGGAAAGCCACGTTTTCCACGTGAGCAACCCCCTGGACCGGAGGAAGGGGAGCGCAGAACTGACTGCAAGCCTGGCAAAGGGAATCCAGGAGGGAATGATGGAAGCAAAGAAGAGACTGAAGGGCCCCTCTGGAAGAGATCAGATAACACTGCCCAAAGAGACAGGGGGGGAGAAGCAGGGGGGGCAGCAGAGCTGGAGAGGGGACACAAAATGGGCAGAATGGGATGAGAAAATGGGAAAAGCACACGCTGGGATCGGAGCCCAGTCCCGAGGGACGAGGTGAATCACGGTCCCAGTGGGTTTTGATTCCTGTGTCTCCTCTCCAAGCCAACCCAAACACTGATTTCCATGTTCCGCTTCACCAGCACAGGTAGGAAGTGTTTCTGCTGCTGCAGCTGCCAACTGGAATGACACCATTCCCATTAAACACCTCACACCTCAAATCCACCTTCTTTTCACGCCACTGGCTGGGAAAACTCTCCTGCTACCATCTGCCAACTGCAGATTCCAGCGTCAGCAGTAATTTCAGCTAAACAGAGTTAAAAAAATAAAAGGCATGAAAATAATGGGATTTAAGTAAAGGGACCAGTTTTCTTGAGTTCCAAGCTGAGGCATTCATAGAATCACGGAATAGTTTGGGTGGAAGGGACCTTAAAATCCACCTCATTCCAAAGCCCTGCCACGGGCAGGGACACCTTCCACTCAAATTCATGGCTGTGGCAACTGCAAGTCTAAAAAGGTCCAGACTTCTGAGCTCAAATAAATAAATTTATTAGAAGCTAAATGACCTAACAGACTTCAAACCCGAATATAACTACTTAAAACTCCGTAACAAGCAGCTTTCCCGTTGGAGTTAGAATGCATTAAATAACAACACATGCTAATGAAATTACAATGCATTAAATAATAACCTCTTATAATGACAGTGCAACACATTAAATAATTCTAACCCAAGGGGAGGCCGATCCTGCCGTGGAAAACAGGCAGGGAGTGAAGTGGGGCACTCCTGCACTTCCCCCAACACTGACCAACCCCAGCCATGAGAGCTCACCCAAGTCACACACACACCCCGACTGCCATATGTTTGAAAATATAGAAGCACTGAACTAATGTAAACTTCATTAAAAAAAAAAGAAAAAAAAAAAAAAAGGCCTCAAAACGGTCTTTTATATTTCCCTACACGACGTTTGCTAAGAATAAACCCTTTAGTCATGCTCTAGAAATTTGATGAGTGGTCCAGAGCAATGGTGGAATTGTTTTGGAAAATGCAAATAGTGCCCAGTGCCAGGATTATCCCGACATGTGGTGCCTGCAGAGCCGTGGGGATTAAATGTTTGACAGTCTCTGTTTGTGGATAATGGAGAGAGCCCAAAACAAGAGTCCCTGGGAGATGCTTGTAAACTTAATTCAGGAAAAAAAAAATCAAAGAGCAAAGCAACTGATTACACAGCCCTTGTTTGCAGAAATGCGCTTTTAATTGGCCAGCGGATTTATAGGAGCAAGCATAAATGATAATCCCAGAATCTCAGGGTGGTTTGGATGGGAAGGGACCTTAAAGACCAGCTCATTCCAACCCCCTGCCACGGGCAGGGACACCTTCCACCAGCCCAGGGTGCTCCAGCCTGGCCTGGGACACTTCCAGGGATCCAGGGGCAGCCACAGCTTCTCTGGGCAACCTGTGCCAGGGCCTGCCCACCCTCCCAGCCGGGAATTCCTTCCCAATATCCCATCTATCCCTGCCCTCTGGTAGTTTGAATCCATTCCCCGTGTCCTGTCACTTCAGACCCTTGTAAAATCCACACAGAGGCTGCACAGGAAGGTTTTAGGGTGAACAAATCCACACATACAAACCCACCAACGCATTCCTGGCTATTTCCAAAAACACCCACCAGCTCCGTGGAGTCTCCTGTTCCATCCTGGAATTCCCAAGTCACTGGAACAGTTTATTCCAGGTAGCATTTGGCATTAATACATTTTTCAACTACAATTTCCCCCCCAAATTTTTTCTGCAGTGCACATTGAAAAACTGGGAGCTGGCAGTGCCCCGCTCAGCTGGGACCACTGAAATCCACCCAGGATTGCCACGGGATGCCCTGGAACAGCAGCTCAAGTCACTGCACCTCAGTGACCACAGGATAAAATTAATATTGTTCCCTTCTGATTGACTAAGGATTTTGATAAGCAAGTTTCATTATCCTCACTCCCCTACTCAGATTTCCAGCAGAAGGAAATAAAGTGTTTTATTTTACAGCAAGGAACCAAAATCCCAGCTAAAACAGAGCCAGGGCATGAAAAGTGCTTTCAATTTTTCAGCTTGCAAGATTCCCAGGGGCCAGTGCTAAGAATGTGGGCACAGAAATACATAAAAATCTGCTTTAAAGATGTCTTGCCCTTTAGTTTTTTTTTTTTCTTCCTAAAAAGGTGGAATTCAGCACTACCAATTTCGAAGAGTTCGAGACTTAAATGAACAGAAAATCTTGTTCTAAAGACACATTCTCACATTTTTGCACATGGTAAAGTGAGAACTGAATGTATTTCGCCATTTTTTCCCCCCCCATTCACGATGTGTTAAGGGTCAGCTGTGTAGAACCAAAACTAAAGCAGGGGTTTAAAAGTGTTTGATAAAAAGAAGTGACCTTAAACTTGCTGAAATCACAATGAGATTGGAGCTCTTCAAGGCATGTTCTGGACTTAGAATCCAAGCAGCAAGGAAATATGATTTTACCCATCTCCACACCTTTCTGTGCTTTAGGATTAAAAATTTCTCACACCCCGACATGAACAAGGAAAACCCAAACCTTCCCTCTTCTTTTTCCTGCTCCCAGTTTCTCCCCTTCAAGAAATGCTCAATAAAGGGAAAAGCTTTCAGGAATGGAAAATAAGTGCTCAGGACATTAAAAATCCACCTGAGAAGTTCAAAGCGACCCAAACCTATTCCAGGTATTTGACTAAGAAGTTTCTAAATTTTCTTTAAAATTGTCATCTCAAAGCAACCTGCTTGGAAAGATCCTGGGATGAGTGGATTTTTAAACCTCTTCGGGACAAAATTACAAACTATTTGAAAACAGTGGCGCTGATGTTTGATGCATTCTGAAATTAATACAAAACCTGATGTTTTCACACTTGGGATTCAGGGTGGGTCCTGCAGGCAGGGAACTTTTCCAAGGGGAAAAAAAAAACAACAACAACAAACAGGATATAAGCAACTACACACTGGTATCACAACTCTATTTTGGAAAGGTGAAATTCCTGCTCTTTCCACCAGAACCGAATGCACAAACAGAAAGAATTGTGAAGAGCAGCGTTAATCCACCAGTCTGCACACTGTGTGTATTTCAGGAGGATTGAAACACCTTCAAATTTTCAAGAAACCACGTTTGGGAGGATGCTGGTTTGGATGTCAAGGTGCTGTTTCAGGTCAGATTGGAGAGGCCAGGAAAAGAACAGCGTGGAATTCTCTAAGAGACTGGAAAGCAGCTACTACACGGAGGAGATTTAGGAGTAAAGAGCGGAAAACCCACGATTCTTCAGCCAGGCAATCAGGGGATTCTCTGCCATCCAGAGGACTACTTAGCTGCCTTCTAAAACAAGTGGCACGAGGGCCCAGAACAAATGCAAATCTTCTACTCTATAAAAAACAAAAAAAATCAAAGGGAATCGTTGCCCCACAGCATCCACAGTACATCTATCTATTCTTGGGGGGCAAAAAAAAAAAAAAAAAAAAAAAGACCAACCACTCAGAAGCGCCTGCAGGACCTGTATCCCAGTCCTGCCCAGCAGCAGAGATCCAGATCAGCTGGGAATTATGAACTGTGGAATAATCCCCAACCTTTGGAAATGACACATCGCTCCCTCCGAGCCCAGTTTAACCACTCCCTCCGCTGCTGGGGGTGCCGTTCCAAAGGGGGGCGGGCTGGGGGGGCTTCCCTGCCGTGCAGAACACATCCTAAACAGGATCAATTCATCCGCCGGGAGGATTCCCACACGGCTCATCTCTCCTGCGGGGCGGGAAGACGCCTCGGGAAGCACGGGATGGCTTCACCCCGCAGGACAGCCCGGGGATGTCCCGAGTGTCACCCCGACTGCCAGAAGCACCTCAGCGAGGGAAGAGAGCCTGGAAAAGCCGCCTCGGGGTGGGGGGGAAAGGGATGCAGGATGCCATCCCACCGCTCCTCAGCGGCATTACCAGGTTGCCCGGAGAAGCTGTGGCTGCCCCTGGATCCCTGGAAGCGCCCAAGGCCAGGCTTGGAGCAACCTGGGCTAAGTGGGAAGGTGCCCCTGCCCCACGGCAGCGGGGTGGAACGGGATGGGCTTTAAGGCCCCTTCCCACCCAAACCCCTCTGGAATTCCGGGATCCCAGGATCTTGCCAGAGCCCCAGTTAGGAGGTTCCCTCCCCAGGGGAGCGAACTTTTATCAAGCGCAGGTTGAAGGAATAAGCAGCCGCCCCCCCCCCCCACCTTCCCCCTCAGCATCGCCACCGGGAGCCCCCTGAGGGGATCCCCCCGGGGGAGGAAAACACCCTTCGCAGCTCTCCCCTTCCCACCCCGGGGGGACTGACCGACCTTGCGCAGGGCGGGCACGAAGAGCCCGCGCCATTTCGGGCCGTTCTCCTCGCCCAGGAACTCGTAGGGCTGCGGCGGCGGCTGCATGGCGGGGTTTGGGGGGGGGAGAGGGAAGGGGAGGGAGGGAGGGAGGGGGGGGAGTGTGCAGCGCTCCGCTGCTCACCCGCCCGGCCGCGCCGCCATGGCCCGGCTCGGGGGGAGCCGCCTCAGGGTGGTGGAGGCTCGGCAGGGACCGGGAAGGGTCGGGTCGGGCCGGGTCAGGCGGGGACGGGACGAGCCGAGCCGGGCCGGGCCCCGCTCGCTGCGGCCCCGCTGCCGCCGCCACCGCCACCGCCACCGCCGCCCCTTGCGCGCCTGCGTACAACGGGCCCGCAGCGCCCCCGGCGGGCACCGCCGGCATCGGGATCGCCCTGTCTGAGGGGAATATCCCGGCGTGAGGGGGAGATCCCTGTCTGAGGGGAATATCCCTGCTTGCTCCATCTCTCTGGCGGCGACGCCCCCCACCCGCGGGCTCGGGGGGGGATTCTCCCGACCCCGGAGGGGTCGGGAGAATCCCCCCCCGAGCCCGCGGGTGGGGGGCGTCGCCGCGCCTGAGGTGGGGAGGTGGTGTTGATTCTCCCGCCGTGCCTGAGGGGCTGTTTCCCTCCCTGCGGGTAGATTTGTTTTCCTCCCGGCCTGGAGGCTGTTTCCTTCACCACCTGGAAGCTGTTTTCCCATCCTTACCCGGAGGCAGTTCTTCTCCTTGCCCCGGAGGACGCCACTGTCGCTGTTTCCCCCCGCCCGCCCCCGATTCCAGCCGAGCTTTTCCCCTCATTTCCCTCCCCCGCAACAGCATCCATATTCAAACATCATTCCCTATCTGCTACCCCCTACTCCCAGTTTTAAGGCTGGTCGACAGAGGGAGAGGAAGAAATTAAATAAAGGGGGGGGAAAAAAAGTGCCTTTCTGCCAGCAGGAGCGCGGTCCTTCTCTGTGAGAGATCCCAGAGGCAATTCCAGAGGCAGCAACAGCTCCTTGTGCTCTCTGTTGGCTCAACTTTCCTCCCCCCAACGGAGAAGCCTGGGAGGTTCCCCAACAAAATACTTTATTTCTGGGGGAGAGACACTCGTTCCTCAAGCCCAAACTGGGAGGAGGAAGAATAAAGGCAATTCCGAGTGTGACCTCGGGATAATTTTGGTGTGATCCACGGACATGCAGCTCCATGGGTCTGGGACTGCAAACTCTTCCCAGAGTCGCTGGTTTAGACAGGGAAGGAATTGCTGGCTGGGAGGAATTCCCAGGTTACTCAGAGAAGCTGTGGCCGCCCCTGGATCCCTGGAAGTGTCCAAGGCCAGGCTGGAGCAACCTGGGCTGGTGGAAGGTGTCCCTGCCCATGGCAGTGGGTGGAATGGGATGAGCTTTAAGGCCCCTTCCGACCCCAAACCAGTCTGGAATTCCATGATTCTGTGACACTTTTGGGGAACAAATTGAGTTTGTCCACCCCTTTATTCAGAACGTCAGGAATTCCCACCCCACGTGCCACGACAGGCCCAGATGAGCCTCAAGACCAGTTCTGTCTAGTGAGGAGAAGCTGTGAGGTGTGAGAAGAACAGATAAGAGAATTTAGGAAGACAAGTTTGGTCATGTGTCCCCCTCCTAAATAAAGAAATTCCTGTTATATAGAGCAATATCCTGCCTAATTCAGGGGAGAATTAGCAAATACCAGTGAAACTTTTCTCTGAGTCAGGAGAAACACACACATTTTACAGCAGTTAAAAAAAAAAAAAAACCACGCTATTTTAATCATAATAGAGAAAGGCACATTTATAAAGTCATCCAAATGAATTAGACCCGTTTGGAAAATAAATTAATACATTTTCACTCTTGGTGGGCAACAAGGTTTAGGCCTGAAACCCCATTATAATAATTTCTGAGGTAATTTTTTTCTAACAACAGTTTATAATTTTATCTCTAAAAATATTTATATTTCACAGAATGCTACATCAAGATTCATAACTTAGGTTTCCATTAAACTTTACCCCAAAATAACCATCACCTGAGAGGCAAAAAAACCCAAACAAACAACAAAACAGAGGGAAATGTGCTGAGTTAAGGTTCCCCCTGGTCTCTGTCTGCTTTACATTTTAATGTTCCTTATTCTGTTAATACATGTCAGGGCCACACCTCATGTGGGAGGAAGTTGCTTTTGCAACCCTTTTGTGGGATTTACCGTGGGGAGGCAACACTCCTGGCAGGGAGGGAAGAGAGGATTGTTCCATGGGGAGGAGTTTTACACGTCCCTGTGGCCCTGGAGCATCTGGAATAACTGAACCTCTGCCTCCTGGGATTTGGGGCTCAGAACAGCGAGCAAAGCTTTGCTTTGAAGGGGGTTGAATTTCCAGCAGTCACTTTTCTGGTAAAGCAGATGTCACCAGGGAGAAAAATTTAGGAAAGAAAAAAGGCAGGTTAAGCCCTTTTTCCCCTCAATTGTGCAGTAAAACACCAGCCACACACCTGCCCTCCCGTGCTACGCCACCCTTCATGCTCAGAGGAGTTCAGAAAATCACTTTTTAATAGAAAATACGTTGTCAAATGGCCTGGGACAAACTGCCCACAACGGTCTGTGTTAGCCACCATCCTGTGAACTTCTGCTTTCCAAGTGTCACCAAGTACCTTGTCCCCGAGGCCACCAAATTCTCTGCAGGACACACTGCCTCCCCACGGTAAATTCTCAGCTCAGGACCAAGATTATTTGACATCTCTCTCTCCACAGACTCTTCCAGGTGTGTCTCTGGTAAAAGATGAGTATCAGCAGAGTTCAGAAGAGTCACCAGCACTGTCTGAGCTCCCCCTGTGCCAGCCCTGTGGGAAATNNNCCCCCGCCCCCGATTCCAGCCGAGCTTTCCCCTCATTTCCCTCCCCCGCAACAGCATCCATATTCAAACATCATTCCCTATCTGTTACCCCCTACTCCCAGTTTTAAGGCTGGTCGACAGAGGGAGAGGAGAAATTAAATAAAGAGGGGGGAAAAAGTGCCTTTCTGCCAGCAGGAGCGCGGTCCTTCTCTGTGAGAGATCCCAGAGGCAATTCCAGAGGCAGCAACAGCTCCTTGTGCTCTCTGTTGGCTCAACTTTCCTCCCCCCAACGGAGCAGCCTGGGAGGTTCCCCAACAAAATACTTTATTTCTGGGGGAGAGACACTCGTTCCTCAAGCCCAAACTGGGAGGAGGAAGAAAAAAGGCAATTCCGAGTGTGACCTCGGGATAATTTTGGTGTGATCCACGGACACGCAGCTCCATGGGTCTGGGACTGCAAACTCTTCCCAGAGTCGTTGGTTTAGACAGAGAAGGAATTGCTGGCTGGGAGGAATTCCCAGGTTACCCAGAGAAGCTGTGGCCGCCCCTGGATCCCTGGAAGTGTCCAAGGCCAGGCTGGAGCACCCTGGGCTGGTGGAAGGTGTCCCTGCCCGTGGCAGGGGGTGGAATGGGATGAGCTTTAAGGCCCCTTCCGACCCAAAACCAGTCTGGAATTCCATGATTCTGTGACACTTTTGGGGAACAAACTGAGTTTGTCCACCCGTTTATTCAGAACGTCAGGAATTCCCACCCCACGTGCCACGACAGGCCCAGATGAGCCTCAAGACCAGTTCTGTCTAGTGAGGAGAAGCTGTGAGGTGTGAGAAGAACAGATAAGAGAATTTAGGAAGACAAGTTTGGTCATGTGTCCCCCTCCTAAATAAAGTAATTCCTGTTATATAGAGCAATATCCTGCCTAATTCAGGGGAGAATTAGCAAATACCAGTGAAACTTTTCTCTGAGTCAGGAGAAACACACACATTTTACAGCAGATTAAAAAAAAAAAAAAAAACCACCACGCTATTTTAATCATAATAGAGAAAGGCACATTTATAAAGTCATCCAAATGAATTAGACCCGTTTGGAAAATAAATTAATACATTTTCACTCTTGGTGGGCAACAAGGTTTAGGCCTGAAACCCCATTATAATAATTTCTGAGGTAATTTTTTTTTAACAACAGTTTATAATTTTATCTCTAAAAATATTTATATTTCACAGAATGCTACATCAAGATTCATAACTTAGGTTTCCATTAAACTTTACCCCAAAATAACCATCACCTGAGAGGCAAAAAAACCCAAACAAACAACAAAACAGAGGGAAATGTGCTGAGTTAAGGTTCCCCCTGGTCTCTGTCTGCTTTACATTTTAATGTTCCTTATTCTGTTAATACATGTCAGGGCCACACCTCATGTGGGAGGAAGTTGCTTTTGCAACCCTTTTGTGGGATTTACCGTGGGGAGGCAACACTCCTGGCAGGGAGGGAAGAGAGGATTGTTCCATGGGGAGGAGTTTTACACGTCCCTGTGGCCCTGGAGCATCTGGAATAACTGAACCTCTGCCTCCTGGGAATTGGGGCTCAGAACAGCGAGCAAAGCTTTGCTTTGAAGGGGGTTGAATTTCCAGCAGTCACTTTTCTGGTAAAGCAGATGTCACCAGGAAGAAAAATTTAGGAAAGAAAAAAGGCAGGTTAAGCCCTTTTCCCCCTCAATTGTGCAGTAAAACACCAGCCACACACCTGCCCTCCCGTGCTACGCCACCCTTCATGCTCAGAGGAGTTCAGAAAATCACTTTTTAATAGAAAATACGTGTCAAATGGCCTGGGACAAACTGCCCACAACGGTCTGTGTTAGCCACCATCCTGTGAACTTCTGCTTTCCAAGTGTCAGCAAGTACCTTGTCCCCGAGGCCACCAAATTCTCTGCAGGACACACTGCCTCCCCACGGTAAATTCTCAGCTCAGGACCAAGATTATTTGACATCTCTCTCTCCACAGACTCTTCCAGGTGTGTCTCTGGTAAAAGATGAGTATCAGCAGAGTTCAGAAGAGTCACCAGCACTGTCTGAGCTCCCCCTGT